AGTAGAATAGAATAGAATAAGGAGTAGGAATAGGAGTAGGAATAGAATACTTTTATTGGACAAGTATAATTGGACATACAAGGAATGTGTCTCCAGTGAATAAGCTCCCAGTGTACATAAAAGATATAAGTGCTAAATAATGTTCATAGTAATCATAAATACATTCATCATCAATGGTGTGGGAATAGGAATAGATTTCCAGAGAAAAAATTGCAGACTACAGGAACCAGGAGTACTAGGGAGACCCTGTTAAATATTATGATTCTTGGTGGTGTGTAATATTTTTTAACTTTATGTATTTTATTACTTATATATCTGATAGTAAGCCATCTAGGTTATTTTATAAAATACAAGTGGCCATATACTTTTTAACATAAATATTTAGATTTATTCATTTTTCCATATATTGATTGATCATTTATACATTATATTAATCTCTCAAACGCATTTTAATAACAGAATGTAGATTGCATATAATATTTTCCCCTAAGATTGAAAAGAGAACTAACCTGTATGACTTCTTCGGTGTATAGCTAAAAAATGATTATATTTAAAGACTTTCCCACAGTCTTTGCACTCAACTTCAGAACCAGTACGTTTTCTTCTGCCATTGGCCCTTTTTGCCAGCCCACTGTCCTCTTCATCACCAATAAGTTTATAATCTTTTAATTTGATTGATCGCCGTATCCTACGTTTGCTGTAACGACTCTGAGTGATCTGTGTATTTTGGCACTTAGGATCATAGTTCTCATCCTTTTCTGTTGAGACACTGACCACAGCTTCTGTCCTACATATTTCTCTTCCCTCTCCACTTACAGGAATGAGTTCATTGGTATTTCTGTCTTCTACCACAGTCTCCCACTTTATAAAATTTTGCTTATTATGAACCGAATTGTTCTCTTTTAATTGCACATCTTCCATTGAAAGGGATTCCAGTTTTTCTTCCTGGATGTTCTTCACTTTTCTTGGTCTTCCACGCTTTCGCTTTGGTGGGTCTTCATTTTTCTTATTTTTTGCTAAGACAGCTATTGGGGTTTCACCATTAGAAATTCCAGATAATGTGTTTGTTAAGCTGCCGTTCCTCTCTTGCTCTGTATATGCTCTAACTAGATCATTCACTTTGAGGAGATGAGCAGTCGCTAAAATCTGATCTATACTTTTTTCACTAGCTTGTAAGCAGCCTGTGTAAATAAATTCCAATAGCACACCAAAAGCATCTGCCACCATCCCTTCAAGCATGTAGATCGACTGGCCAATCTCGCCCTCTTCAACGAACATCATGGAGAAATATTCACTGCTGGCAGCAAGTAATGCCTTATGGGCTCTAAAGTGAACATTTTCTACAATTAAAGTGATGTCACATAAAAAATCTTTTTTTCTCTGTTCCTCAAATTTAATTAGAATAGTGTCTCTGTGAACCTTAGAGTGGATTGCTATAGGTTTCTCTGAAGAATTAGATGCAGCTTCATCCATTATTGCTAAAAACAAAGGGGGAAAAAGAAACTAAGATTCAAAGTGCTCCAAGACAAATGGAAAATACTTATTTAGTACAAGGGACATTTGCTGGCCTATTTGAATGGCACTACACAATGCCCCGAAACTGCCAACTCTCAGAGTTATTCAGGCTAGCCAATATAATTCAGAATTAAGCATCCTAAATAAGGGTCTCATTTAAACATCAGCTTAGATTTAATAGTTAATTGAGTTAATAATTAAATAGCTTTAAAAATAGAATAAACGTTGATATCAAAGTAGCAAAAATCAGACCCTCTGATAAGATCCCCCAAGGTTTGAAAGGGGAAGGCAATTGTCATGAATTTGCCATCTACTCTTTGCAATGCCTTACCCCTAGAAACTCTGTTTTGGAAAAATGGGGGGGGCTCTCTTCAGAGAAACATGGGAAATGGCAGTGGGGGAAAGCAGCAATACATTTCACCTCTTTTCTTTAAACTTGTGGAAGCACCTAGTTGGTTGAGTCAGTCATAGAATAAATCCTTTCATTTAGGGATATGTATGTATGTATGTATGTATGTATGTATGTATGTATGTATAAAATTTATTGGCCACCCATCTTACCATGAGATAATTCTGGTGGTTTACAGTCACAAAGCTATATCTGTATTAAAACATAAATTAAAAGTCAGAATCNAAAATGCCCTGAAAACACCCAGAAAATGCCCTGAAAACACCTCAAAAATGCACTGAAAGCACCCTGAAAAACAGTCTGAAAATGCCCCGGAAAATGGCTTGAAAATGCCCCCCAAACGGCCTGAAAAACAGCCTTGAAAATGCCCTCCAAAACAGCCTGTTTTTGGCCTTTTTCAGGCTGTTTTCCAGTGCCTGTGAAGACCAGCTGGCGAGGGAGCGCATGCCCAGAGAGGCCACATGTGCCATAGGTTTGCCATCATAGTTATAAGCTATTAAGCAGGCAGAGAAGTTATACATGTAAATCAGAGGGACTATGAAGAGTACAAGATTTACAGAAATAGTAAATGAAACATTTTCTTAGGACTACTTGATAGTATTTCATATTTTGTACCTGGACTTTCATTTACAGAACACTACATAAGTATCTATTTATCTCATTTCTGCGGCCACTACCACATTCTCATTACTTGTTTCTGTTAATTGGTTTTGAGAGCATGTAGTAGTTAAAAGATGGAGGAGGAACTTCTCATTCTTGGAACAAGAACGACTTGAATACCAGTGGATTATGGGTTCATATATGCTTAAAGGTACATATCCAATGTACCTTATTCAAAAGAAAACACACCAAGGACTTCTACCCTTAACATGAAATTGACCTAGAATTTATTCCACAGGGAGAAATCATGAGCTATAAAAAGCTTTCTATAAGGGAATGGAAAGATATAGTTTTATGGATTAGTAGATAGCCCCTATGAACCACATAGGTATACCTTATAAAAAAAACCCAGACCCTAAGGACAAAATATTGAGGTCAGCTATCATTTCCAATTCTTAAAATGAGTTCTCCGAAGTGTCAAACATTCTGTTACTGAAATAATGCAGATATACTCATTCTAATCCTGTCAGGGATTATTTTTTCCCACTTTACAATTTTAGCCTAGTGAATGGCTTTTGATCTTACCTGTATGAAGACTCATGTGTTCCAAGAGAGAATGTTTTGTGGTTAAAGCTTTATTGCAAACTGTGCAAGTATATGGCCGTTCCCCAGTGTGCATCCGCTCATGGACTTGGAGAGAGTGCTTCTGGGAAAAGCCTTTGCCACATTCACCGCATTTGAATGGGCGCTCTCCTGAAAACAAAGGTATGGCACTGTGAATGGGAAACAGATATTTCAAGCAGGTGGAGCAGTGCTTGAAATAACAACATGCATCATGTAATTTAAATTGGAAGTACATTTTTCAAAAGTACTACTTTGAAAATACTACAAAGGCAGCAATGTTGATGGTAAAATAAGTGTTAATATAAAAGGACAATTTTAATAATTTTAATTGTAGTTAACACCCAACTTTATATTCTGCTGTAATTATTTATATAAATAGCTGTAGTCTAGGAAGATAACTAATTATTCTTTCCTTCTCTCATTTTTGCCATAACAATCCTATAAGGTGGGGTTAGGCTGAGAGAGATTCACTTACCCAAGCCACGCAGCTGGCTTTGTTGATACAAGAACTCCTGGTTTCTATGCTGGTGTCTTAAACCAAGACAAACAAAAGGGTTCCTTTTTTGAGGCTGTATTGAAATGTAGAACTACAGGAATTCCTAATTTACAGCGCAGAACTACGTAAGCGAATTACTCATGTGAATCCATGAGTAGATGGATAGAGTAGAGTCTCCCATCATTCAAGGCTAATATTTGAAGTTTTTCAGGACAAGAAGGCATGTTCTAGGATTCGAAGATCCGGTGTGCCAATTCGGATTTACAAGCAGGTGAAGATAGCAGTTAGCAATCCCAAAGGTGCTTTTTCAGGAGGCAACTGGACTTTCTTGCTTTACTCTTTTGAGGACATTTCGCTTCCCATCCAAGCTTTTTCAGCTTTTACAGGATAGTGGGGAATGGAAGGATTTATATTCCTTGCAGACAAGAAAAAACAAGGAAGCCCAGTTGACTCCTGAAGAAGCACTTTTGGAGCAACCATGACCTGGATGACTGAGAATCTCTACATAAGTCTATATAATTTGAGATGAGCATCCATAGAAAAGAATGGAATAGAATAGTGTAGAATAGAATAGAATAAGGAGTAGGAATAGGAGTAGGAATAGG